GAGGGGGGGCACTGCACCCTGTCACACACAGAGCAGGGCTGATCAGGGGGTTGGGGCGCCTTCCCCTGTCATGAACAGAGCAGGGCGGATACGGAGGTTGTGGTCCCGCCCCCTGTCACACACAGAGCTGCAGGGCGATCAGGGGGTTTGGGCGCTGCCCCCTGTCATGCTGATCCCGGTGCTGGGAGGCATATTACCCTTTTACTATATAGGATAGAGGCCTGGGGGCCGGCTGGTTTGCCCTGAAGGGTGTCCTGGATCAGGGTGGGGGTCCCCCTGGGGTGCCTGGCCAGTCTGGGTGAGGGGCTGAGGGCTGCTTTCAGGCTGGCGGTTGTTGACTGAAGCTCCCAACTGCTCCTTTTTTTTCTCTTTTTTTATTTTATTCTGGGCCAGCTTTAGCTCTGGCTCTAGCTCTGAGGCTTCGTATCTGGTTTGTTTGCCGTTCTATAATCGAAACAATGTATAACTTCAGCTCTGAGATCCCGGCTGAATGAAAGCTGGTTTCTGGGGTTTTGTTTAGCTTCTTATTTGCAACATAGTACATAGTTGCTTAGAGTTGCAACTCAGAGGCCGGCAAGTCAGGCGGGGAACGTTGGAGTCTGCAGTCACTGGAGCAAGCAAACCTCATGTTCGCTTCCAGCTGCCTGGCTGCCGGCCGCCATCTTGGCAGACAGTTAATTTGCATAAGAATATGCTGATTAGCCAATGGGAAGGGTAGTGGTCGTACGCCAATTACCATGTTTCTCTTTTATTAGTGTAGATACTTGTAGGATAGGAATTGCTGAGTTGTAAGGTATATGTGTTCAACTTTACAAGGTAATGTCAAATTACCCTCCAAAGTGCCTGATCAATTGAAATTCTCTCCTGCAGTGTAAGAGAGTTTGCATTGTTCTTATTAACACTTGGTATCGTCCAACATTTAAAAATATTTACCAATCTGGGAGTATGAAACTGCGGTTCAGATACATGAAGAAATATGCCAAAGGTAAAACAGTGAATAAGTGCTGGTGCCACATACAGTAGGCTGGATTTCAAAGAAATGGAAATATATATTGGTTGATTCTTTTTTATAACAATGAGAATAGTTATTAAAAATGGGAGCGAGATTTCTTAAGTGTAATAATGTTACATAAGAACTTCCTTAGGGCGAACTATTTCTGAAAGTGTGATTTTATTTATTTTATTTTTAATTTATTGATTTGAGAGAGAGAAGCATCAATTTGTTGTTCCACTTACTTATGCATTTATTGGTTGATTCTTGTATGTACTTTGACTGGTGATTGAAGCCAAAACCTTGGCATATCAGGATGATGCTCTAACCAACCGAGTTATCTGGCCATGGCCTGAAAGTGTGATTTTGGATTTAATTAGATCAGAATCACCTGGTAGTAGTGCGTTTTTTGGGGGGTTGGGGGTGATGGTAGTGAGGAGCGGAAGTACTTAATACTAGTACTTTTAGAAAACGCAGGACTCATCTCTAGATTTACTAATTTAGGATCTCTAGGAATGGGAGATAGGCATCAGAATTTTTAACAAGCTCGTCTAGTTTTATTTTTTGTTTTTTAATAAACCCTAGAGTTTAAGAACTGCTTTAGGGATTTTGAAAGTAATTCCCAAAATACTGCCTGATTTACTAATACACGTATAAACATGGGACCAGAGGCAGAAACTTAAACCTACACATATGTAATCACTCCTTATTGACTTTTGTCATCTAACTTCCTTTCTCTAAGAATTTATCTTACTATTTTTCTCTTATTATTGTCCTCTTGTCTAATCTGCATGCGATATGTTAGAATTAGGACTCTGGCATCAATAACGGTAATTCTCTCTAAACTTTCTCTGCCTGGCTGGCCCTTATTCCTTTAAAGAGGACTATGGGATGTAAAAGATATGCTCATATAGCAATGCAATCAGTTAATTCATTCTTTATAAAACTGTTGATAGCAATTATACCAGTCTTGGGTGGGTAAAGATTTGGACTCAATGGTTATAAATAGTGTAGATTTGTGGAGCTGGGGTTAGAGCTGTGAAAGATCCTCATGTTCTTCTCATTACTATCCCTTTTCAAGTCTATTTTCTACGCGATAACTAATTTTAAGGAGGAAAACAATGTCTGAGCTAGCTGAAGAATTAGTAGAAACACCATTCAGACCCCATTTCCCAAAGACACAGACTTTAATGAGATCTGTGATAATATCAGGAATGGATATTGTAGACTCAAAAGAACTGTATACTGCTTACCTGCCCAAATCTTATAAGCACTGTTTGTGTTATTGCTGAGCAAATTTTTGCTTTTAATTAAGTAGTATAGCTAATTGTGTTTAGAATTTGATAATTTTATTTCCTGTGGGTTTTTTTCAGACACACCAATTACCAAATACTTAAAAGTTCCCTAAGTTCAGCAGAAAACTGTTCTGCATAACTTTTATCTAAAAAATGAAGTAAACAGAATGTTAATCACCTAGACTCTAGATTTTGCAGGAATCATCCTTAAATTGGGCTTTCAAAATTATGTGCATTTCCAAGTTATCTTACATTTTATAGTTTTATTATCCTATATATTAAAAGCCTAGATCAGTGGTTCTCAACCTTCTGGCCCTTTAAATACAGTTCCTCATGTTGTGACCCAACCATAAAATTATTTTCGTTGCTACTTCATAACTGTAATGTTGCTACTGTTATGAATCGTAATGTAAATATCTGATATGCAGGATGGTCTTAGGCGACCCCTGTGAAAGGGTCGTTCGACTGCCAAAGGGGTCGCGACCCACAGGTTGAGAACGGCTGGCCCAAATGGTGTCGCGTGACATCGTCACAAGATGGTCACCACAAGATGGCCGGCAGGGGAGGCAGTTGGGGGCGAACAGGCCAGCAGGGGAGGGCAGTTGGGGGTGACCAGGCTGGCAGGGGAGGGCAGTTGGGGACGATCAGCCCGGCAGGGGAGCGGTTAGGGGGCGATCAGGCTTGCAGGCAGGCAAGCGGTTAGAAGCCAGCAGTCCTGCGTTGTGAGAGGGTGCAGGCCAGGCTGAGGGACACCCCCCTACCCATGCACAAATTTCGTACACCGGGCCTCTAGTTTGGTTATAAAATTAGATAATTACTATTAAGGGATCAATGTCATAATTTATGAAACAGATGTTTAACAAAATCTGAAAATAATATGTGGCACTTTGTATGTTATGCTTTCAAAAGAGGTTTTAAGTCGTATATTATATGTAGAAGTTGTTAGCTATTCAAAAGGTACAATAAGAGATTATTGTTCATATCAGTGTAATCAGTTGATACTCCCTGATTATACTTTTTCATTTTGCACATTGTCAGAACCTTGGACCTTAATCTTATTCTTTGATTGATAATAGGGACCAGGGAAAGATCACTTGTATTGTTTGGGATAGTCACATCTGTTCAACTTGATTCAGTTGAGGGTATTTGCATATTCTTAAGTATTTCTTCTGAGAGAACCTAAATCCTTCTCAAGTGCTTGATGCTTTTTGAAATTCATTCATAAGGTATCTACATGCACTAATAGTTCTGTATAATATTGCTGTGCATAATCTGACAGATAAGACCACATTTTAAAACAAGGTATTCTTTAGGGATGTTACATTACATTTTTTACTTGTTCTGCTGGTAGAAATGTCAAAAATTTTTAAAAGGCTGTTTCAGTGTTTTGATTAAATTATTATATCCCAATTTTAGACAAGTGTGTCAATCATAGGACAAATAAAGATTTATTAAATAATTCAAATGGTAATGGTAGTGTTTACTGCCTTGGTTGGAAAATTAAGTAATTTTATAGAAAACCAATGTAGAGCTTGAATGGATTTGTTTTATCTCCTTATTTTATAGGGAAGGTTACTGAGGCTCAAGATCATGTAGTTTGGAAATTAAGCCTTATTTTAGGTCTGAACTCTCAGACCAGTAAACTCTACAAAATGCTAGTTTATGACTTCTGGTTACATTAATGATGGTATGACCCCTGATTTACATTATTTACAAATTGTCCTAAAATTTCCCATATGATATTAACCAGTGCCACACCAATAAAATTAATTAAAAAACTAAAATTTTCCTTTGCCATTAGAACACATAATCAGGGATTATTATGTCTTATTCATTATAGCATTTCTCCAGAATTGACACCTTGTCTTTTTCATACTTAATACCCAATCATTATTTTGCTGTCCTGTTATCATTGTTCTCCTATGCTATTATTCTATAAAGGATAATTTTGAAATAAGATAGTTTATTAATGGAATGTTAAATACCTTTGATAGCAAATAGGTTTCATTTTGTGTTCTATTTTTGATGAATTGGCAATTGCTATGTGGAGAAGAATTTTTATATCTTCTGGGTTTGCTTAGCAGTGTCTGCCACTGGCATAGGATCGGAGAAACCAACTGTTTCTTCCTTGATATATGTGATCTTAGGAAAGAGAGAGAACTATAGACTAGAGTGATTAGAAAAGGCCCCAGGAAGAAATAAGGCTCAAAGTATGGGATAGAATTCAGTATTTATAGGCAGAATGAGGTAGAATGTTACCAAGGCTGGGTGTTTCCTTAAAAAGTATAGGCATTCAGAAAGGTTAATTAGGTTAATGTAACCTAATATCATTACTTTTACGTTATAATGTAGATAGGTTATATTAAATATAATCAAAGGAAGGAAAACAATTATTGAGAACTTTGATACCTGCCCCAGTGCTTTTTACAGGGGCCCTGGAGACTTTCTGTTCTAGTTTCCTTTCCTGAGTTATTGAGGGTTGTTAAGTCTTCCCCTATTTTTGCCTGTGTCAGCTCTCTCCAATTTTATATCTGCCTTACATATGTAAAAGTTGTGATAAACTCATTACAATTTTATTTCATTATTATGTTACAGAAATTCATTGGAGAAGGAAATCTCAATTGTTGTTTAATCATATTATTAAAATTGTATTTTAAAATATTTGGTTATAAAATAAATGACTCCAAATAACATAATTATTTTTTATCTTCCAGGAATCTCCTTCTGGTCGAAGGAAAGCTCTTGCTACTAGCAGCATCAACATGAAACAGTATGCAAGCCCTATGCCAACTCAGACTGATGTCAAGTTAAAATTCAAGCCATTATCTAAAAAAGTTGTATCTGCCACTCTCCAGTTTTCATTATCTTGCATTTTCCTCCGGGAAGGAAAAGCCACGTAAGTTTATTTTGTCCAAAAATCTGCTTCAGAGTGTGTTTTAAAACACTGTAGGTTTATAGCTTTGGACTCAGTATATTGGCAACAGTTGAGAACATCCTACCACATACCAATCATTCTTGCCATTCTTTGTTTCAGAGGCTGAATTAAATGAACTCCTTGTTATTTATAGCCTCTTATGACTGTAGAGAATGAACAATAATATAAAAGTGATTACAGAAAGTTTCAAATTTTATATTATAATTGTATATCATAGTATATCATACATGTTGGGGTTTTTTTTATATTTTAGTGTTTTCGGTGTAAGTGGTTGTCCTCTGAAATACAGACAGTTCAATTTGTGGAGCTGTTTGGTTCAGCTGAGATATGAGAGGAACCCAGAATGAAAAGTTTAGGATAAGAGTAATGAAAGAATTAAAGGAACCTTTGCCAGTTCATGTTTTTTGGCTCAGCCTTCCAAAAACTGTATAGCAAGATGTACAGGTAGGCACACTTTGTTATAATCACTATCCTTTTCAAAAATCACTTCTAAAGCTCTGACTAGGCATTGCACGAAGATAATTTCTATACCCAGTTCTAGTCTCCTAAAAGACTTAACATTATAGCTGGATAAAATGAGGTGAACATACCTAAAACAGGTTAAAAAAAAAAAAAGTAACATTCACTCTAGTTAAGTCATGGGGTAAGTTCATGTTTTGGGTATAGTGAAACCGTTAGTACCTATTTGGAGTGAAGATGGAAATGTAAATTTTACACCTTGACTTAAAAGGTGAGGGGGAAAAGGCACGTATAAACATTACAATCCAATCTGAATCACACTTCTGAATGTGTTTGACCTAGTGAAATGTGGTTACTATAATTGGTCATGTCTACTTAACTGATTAGACTGAATACTGTGCGTCAGAATGAGATGTTTGGCACTCATCTACAGGGCACAAGTGACTTGGTAGATAACATAAGCCTCTTCTCTGGAAAGTTTGCTTCTAAGTGAGTGTTGTACAGAGTGCAGAATGGAAGCATTAGTCTTTCATATCAAGACCTTAAATTGTAGACTTAAATATTGAGAAATTAAAAATAAAGACCTTACCCTGAAATCCAGGCCAAAAAGAAAGGTAAGGAAATAGAGAAAGAAGAGAGAAAACAAAATCAGAGAAGATCCTTTGAAGGTGGACTCCTTTCCAGTGGGCCGAGCAGTAAGTGAGTCAGTACCATTCACAGAAATACAGGTGAGAGGAAATTCAGTCAAACCAAGTATCTCAGTTTGAGTGAAGCATTCTCTCAAACACCCTAAATTCCCTCTTTCCTCCTTACCTTTCCCAAAGAAAAATGTTCAGGGTTAAAATATGAGGAAATTAAATAGGTAAAATTAAGCAAATTAGCATTTTAAGAATAATATATCTTGAAATGATCCCCATTGATAGGTGAGCAACTTGTAAGGCATTCATATAATGTAACATAACTTTTTTTGTTCATGCAGACTTTGTGTTACTAACTTATTTTAAAATGGGGAAATTATTTTAATTCTAAGCTTATATGAGATAAAATGCAAAGAATTTCAAAAAACCAGTTTAGTCTGCAAAGTCATTATATTTAGAAAAATGAATATTTACAAAAGAGATTTTGGTGTGTGTGTTTTTTTATTGTATTGTGCTAAAAACATGAGAAACTGTTTTAATTTGGCTTTCTGAGTTTTGAGGACGTATACCTGATTGAAATTTAGTTTGTATATGACATGTTAGGAATATGTTTCATTCACTGTAGTTTGTTTGAAATTTAAGATGAAAATGATAGATCAGGAAAACTTAAATTTTTTATGTTTACAGTATTTAATTTTAATTTTTCTTTTCATTTCTATTCTAATGTAAATTTCATAAATTTATATTTTAAATACTTCAATATAAAAACATTTATCAACTATATGGTCCAACTTATAATCAATCCAGGTCATTTTCTATCTTGTAATTCTTTTTTTTTTTAAATATATTTTATTGATTTTTTACAGAGAGGAAGGGGGAGGGATAGAGAGTTAGAAACATCAATGAAAGAGAAACATTAATCAGCTGCCTCCTGCACACCCCCCACTGGGGATGTGCCCGCAACCAAGGCACATGCCCTTGACCGGAATCCAACCTGGGACCCCTAAGTCCACAGGCCGACGCTCCATCCACTGAGCCAAACCGGTCAGGGCTCTATCTTGTAATTCTTAAAAAGACTAGACTTTGTCTTAAGGTGCTTTTTATATTACATTAATTCTTTAACTTTTGAACAAGTGTAGCCTCTTTCAGAAAAATGCACCTTTAAACAAGATTTAAATATAATTTACAGGGCTTTATTCTACTTCTTTTTCTTCTAGTTCACAAAACCAAAAGGGTTCATGGACTTCAGAATAAGAATTTCTATTTTAATTCCTTATGAAAATTTAAATATTTTAAAGTCTAGATCTCATCTGATTTGCCAATTATCTCCTTGTTTTATGAAACAAGTTTTTGTTTGCAGACTTCATGGTTAGGAAACCCTACTTTAATCCCATAGAGAAAATTTTAGTCTTCCATATGTCTGCAGCACAGAATTAATGTAACTCCTAACCAGTTAGTTTTTAATCCTGTTTGGTTTTTACTAATTAAACATGTTGTTTAAAAATTAATAAATGAATGTTTAGAGTTTTCAATAGTATTATATAGCTTTAAGAAGAATTATTAATGTACAAAAAAGGAGTATATTAATACTTTCTTAAGCATCAGTTCTTTTTCAAGTGATGTCATTTAATGAACTATGTATTATATTATAAATCATTGATGTAGGGATGAAGACATGCAAAGTTTGGCTAGTTTGATGAGTATGAAGCAGGCTGATATTGGGAATTTAGATGACTTTGAAGAAGATAATGAAGAAGATGATGAGAACCGAGTGGACCAAGAGGAAAAGGCAGCAAAAATTACAGGTTGGTTTTATTAAGCTGTAAGTTTATCTTTTTTTTTTTTGTAAAGTTGAAAGCTTATTCTTATTTCCCAGGAAACACAGTTTCACTAACAAGGCATTTTTTCTTCCTTAAGCCTTTATAATCTAACTAGAGGCCCGATGCATTAAATTGGTGCAAGAGTAGGCCTTCCTTCCCCTGGCTGCTGGCACAGGCTTCCCTCCGGCACCCGGGATCCGGGCTTCCCTCGCAAAGGGAGACCCTGCCCACCTGCTGCAGCCCACCGATCGGTGACGTGGGCCTCCCTCTTTGGGGCGATCGTGGAGCCCCCTGATTGATTGCCCCGCTAGTTGTTGGCCTGGGCCTCCCTCTGCAGGGCGATCATGGGGCGATGGCCGGGCCCCTGACCAATCGCATTACACCTGCCTTGGCTGGCCTGGCACCAGTGGGTGTCATAGCGTGGTCATCCGCATGGTCATCTGAAAGGTTGTTCTGCTGTTCAGTCGTTCGGTCAATTTGCATATTACACTTTTATTATATAGGATATTCCATTTAGCTCTCTGAAAACTTAGCATGTTGCTGGTAATAACAAATTTCAGCAGTTTAAGATCATGTCCAAATTTAGTTAAGAATACATAGAACTGCTGTAACCGGTTTGGCTCAGTGGATAGAGCGTCAGCCTGTGGACCGAAAGGTCCCAGGTTCGATTCCGGTCAAGGGCATGTATCTTGGTTGTGGGCACATCCCCAGTAGGGGGTGTGCAGGAGGCAGCTGATCGATGTTTCTCTCTCATCGATGTTTCTAACTCTCTATCCCTCTCCCTTCCTCTTTGTAAAAAATCAATAAAATATTTTTAAAAAAAAGAATACATAGAACTTTACTAGAACTACTAATTATAATATAAAGTAGCCTGAATATATTCATACTTATTTTGTCAATGTACGAATGAATCCTTTATAACAGTGGTTCTCTCAACCTTCTGGCCCTTTAAATACAGTTCCTCATGTTGTGACCCAACCATAAAATTATTTTCATTGCTACTTCATAACTGTAATGTTGCTACTGTTATGAATCGTAATGTAAATATCTGATATGCAGGATGGTCTTAGGCGACCCCTGTGAAAGGGTCGTTCAACCGCCAAAGGGGTCGCGACCCACAGGTTGAGAACCGCTGCTTTATAAATAAAGAAATGAGAATTTGCATTAGCTACCTTCTCCTAGTACATGGATGTTTTATCTTATATCTAGAAGCTTCCATGCAATTATTCATTATAGTTGGTTTGATCAAACTACTAAAATGTTAAGTGATTAGAACCTCTTTGTATTAATTGGTCAATAAGTACTTATTGGCAATCTGGCTATCACACTTAAGGAATTGATGATATGCCTTTATTATTGGAGTGAAAATAAAGCACTAAATATATATACATCTGGCAAAATTTCAAGACAAGAATGATTAAATAAGGCATACTGATCAATTACAACACCTCCTCTAGCCCCTTCTGGCTATTATTTTTATTTCAATAACATTTTGGGGTTTCCCCCTCCCCACCCCCAATAATTAATGCTGACATTTGTGTTATGTTTAAATGATGTCAGCACCAATTATATAATTATTTTTAAAATGCCATGTCTTTCCTGTCTTTGAGATCTCTGTTTTATTTGGCTAGCTGGAGTACTTCAAGTTGGTGTTTTTCTGCTACCACCACCAGTGACCTTCTGCCTGTCCTTCAAATTTTAATTCTGTTGCCACATAGTCTGAGAAGCCTTTCATGCCAACTCCCCACTTAAGCTTGACCACTCCATCCTTATGCTAATACTATACCATTTACAAATGCAGGCATTTTTTTTATAGCATGAGTTTTTATAATTCCAGTGAGATATAATTTAATCTTTTAATTGGAGGATACAGTTCTTCTTTGTTAATGGCTTTTAGTTAAAACTAATTATCAGTTAGACATTAGTACCATAAGTAGGAATAAAATACCCACACATTTACATAGCTATTTTGAGCTATATTGTATTGTTTTAATCATAATAATAGGAAAAATTAATGATAACAGTATATCACAAGTTCTGTGCTGGTTGAAAGGAAAAGAAAGAACATTATTTTTTAGGAAAATACAGATTTAATGAAGGCATTCAATAATAATTAGATTTTATAGTTCATTGTCTTAGTTCATTTGGCCTGCTGTAACAAAATACAATAGATTGGATAGCCTATAAACAGCAGAAATGTATTTCTCACAATTCTGGTGGCTGGAAGTCTGAAAGGGTGCTCGCATGTTCTTATGAGATCCCTCTTCTGGGTCAAAGACTCCTTATTGTATTCCTCATATTGTGGAAATGGGCAGGGTTGTTCTTTTGGGCCTTTTCTATAAGAGCATTAATGTCATTCATAAGGGCTCCATTGTCATGACCTAATCACACCATCCAAAGGACCCATCTCCTAATACTATCACATTGGGAATTAGGATTTCAACATATGAATTTTGGGAGACACAGACATTCATACCATAGCAACTATTATTTCTTAAACATACATATATACCTTATTTTTTAAAATATATTTTATTGATTTTTTACAGAGAGGAAGGGAGAGGGATAGAGAGTTAGAAACATCGATGAGAGAGAAACATCGATCAGCTGCCTCCTGGACACCCCCTACTGGGGATGTGCCCGCAACCAAGGTACATGCCCCTAACCAGAATCGAACCTGGGACCCTTGAGTCCGCAGGCCGATGCTCTATCCACTGAGCCAAACCGGTTAGGGCATACCTTATTTTTTAAAATTTCTTTTCTTCATTGATTAAGGTATTACATATGTGTCCTTATCCCCCCATTGCCCCCCCCACCCCACCCCCCACATGTGCCCTCAACCCCCTAGTGCAGTGATGGCGAACCTTTTGAGCTCGGCGTGTCAGCATTTTGAAAAACCCTAACTTAACTCTGGTGCCGTGTCACATATAGAAATTTTTTGATATTTGCAACCATAGTAAAACAAAGACGTATTTTTGATATTTATTTTATATATTTAAAAGCCATTTAACAAAGAAAAATCAACCAAAAAAATGAGTTCGCGTGTCACCTCTGACATTCGTGTCATAGGTTCGCCATCACTGCCCTAGTGTCTGTGTCCATTGGTTAGGCTTATATGCATGCATACAAGTCCTTTGGTTAATCTCTCCCCTTTCCCCCCACCCTCCCCTGCCTTCCCTCTGAGGTTTGACGGTCTGATTGATGCTTCTCTGTCTCTGGATCTGTTTTTGTTCATCAGTTTATGTTGTTCATTATATTCCACAAATGAGTGAGATCATGTGATATTTATCTTTCTCCAACTGACTTATTTCACTTAGCATAATGCTCTCCAGGTCCATCCATGCTCATGCAAATGGTAGGAGTTCCTTCCTTTTACAGCAGCGTAGTATTCCATTGTGTAGATGTACCACAGTCTTTTAATCCACTCATCTGCTGATGGGCACTTAGGCTGTTTCCAAATCTTAGCTATTGTAAATTGTGCTGCTATGAACATAGGTGTGCATATATCCTTTCTAATTGGTGGTTCTAGTTTTGGGAAACCATAAAAATCTTAGAGGAATCCATAGGTAGCAAAATCTCAGACATATGCCGTAGCAATATCTTCACCGATACAGCTCCTAGGGCAATGGAAACTAGGGACTAGTTTTATTTTTATTTCAAAATAAAAAGCTTCTGCACAGCAAAAGAAACTATCAACAAAACAACAAGAAAGCCCACTTCATGGGAGAACATATTTGCCAATGTTATCTCTGATAAGGGTTTAATCTCCTAATCTCCAACATTTACAGGGAACTTAACAAAAGGAAGAAGATAAACAAACCAATCAAAAAATGGCAATGCCCCTAAATATACCTTATTTTTTAAAATTTCTGCCAAAGGAGTAACTTCTTTTTAGATAGTCTAAAATTCTTCAGTCCTAATTGAAAAAATTGGTTTAATATAACTTGTGATGATTCAATATTTCTTTGGAATGTTACCATTATTTATACAGTATATTTCTTTTCCCTATTTTATGAAATACTATGTTCTAATCCTTTTTTCATCTCTAGCTTCTAGCACATTGTCTAGAACATACTGAGAATTTAATATATGTTAACTGAAAGGTCATAAGTAAATGAATTGGGGCTTCCCTCCTATTGTAGCCCATATTGATAACTCTGGCTTATTATCTTATTGAATTCATTTTTACCTTTAATCATGTACTACCTTATACAGGGTAGTGTGGTCCCATTTTATGGCAGGAATGGGATCAGGAGGAGACACATAATTCAAACCTTAAATAATTCAAGACTAGTTTTCCAAAGTAATGAATGTAAAATGTGTGTTGAAGGAGCAAAGATAGATGGGGACCATGGGTGATTAGATGCACATTCTAAGTAAATCCATAATTATTGTAATAAATTTTTGCTTTGATGTTGCATTTTTCCCATCTGTATTTTCTATTATATTTTCAGAGTACAGTCACTTAATAGCACAGCATTTCATGGCAGTTGTTTGGTGTCCTAAGTTGCATTTTTTTAGCACATGCAAATTCCATTTCAAAGTTATTAACTTTCAAGAATTATTTTGTTAAGCATCAGCACTACTACTATAAAAATGTTTGAGTAAAGTAGTTTTAAGATAATAAATATATTACAAAATTAACGGCAGTACTGTTAAAATAATAGCTGAAGTAAACAAAACAAATGTTTTGTAAACATGATACAAATAAAGTATGGGTATTTTTATTTACCAGCTAAAGTGGCAATAACTTAAAGCACAGCTTACAGTCACTCATCCTTTCTGCTCTGAAATTGTTGACACAGTTTTTTAAAAGGAAGGAATGATTATTTTAGATTCTGTCTATATTATATCTTTATATTACAATGTAAATACATAAAAAATGCAATCACATTATATCAATACAATTATATAGGTATATTATTACCCAACTAAGTTGCAACCTTCTTGAAGAAACAGATTGTTACAATTATTTTGTGTATCTC